GGGCTCCCCCCCCCCCCCCCCCCACTTAGGACCCAGGCTGGGGCAGAGGGGGTATTTCATGCCCATCTTTGTGGGAGCTCTGGTTGCTTCCTGAATGGCTTAATCACAGCCTGGGTGAGTGGAGGACGCCAGCGGGCTGGGGTTTGCTCCGGGGGTGGTTATGCTTCCCAGAGAGCTTAGCATCTCCTTGGAGGGACTTCGCCATGTCCTGCAGGGTCAGTTGGCCTGGAGAGGAGCCGGGAGCCAGGTGAGCGCCTGCACCGGGAGGGTGCTCACCTCCCCTTTTGCAAGCGTGGTGCCTTGGCATCGTTGAGGGGCATGACTCCCAGACGAGCCTCTGCAAACCGCAGAGAAGCCAGAACAAGGCGCCTGGCTGGAGGAGATGGCGTTTATAGGTATGGTCATCTGATGGAGCGCGCTTGGGTTCACAAAAGCTGGCGTGCTCACCTGCTGTCTTGCATTAGATTTAGTCTATCGGTGCATCACTGCCCTGCCTTGTGCAAGCTTGTGCCCAGCCCTGCTGGGGAAAGGATGGGGTTTGTGGTTTGCTGAACCTGCCACGCGTTGGGCTCCAGGCCCAGCCCTGCAGCCCAGTGCACTGGAGGTTCAGCAGACCACAAACCCCATCCTTTAGCCCAGCAGGATTGCAGGCTTCTCGTCACTAAGGTGTCTGGGTGCTTCTGGGCAAAACTGGAGGTCCTGGGTAAGTTTGGCTGGAGCTTATCGTGTGTCTGGGAGAGGCCGAGGCTGGATGGGGACAAGTTGAAGCAGAAGGGGCAGCAGAGACCATGCTCTCGCCATGCATTGTGTGTAGAAACCACTGAGTGCTTGTACCCTACGGGCCCCAGGAGCAGGTTCCTGAATAGCATTGCGGGTTGAAGAAGACTTGCCTTTAACCTCCCTCTTCATCTCATTTTTTCCTTCCTCCAGGGGCTTTGTGGCCAAGAATAGCCCAGGCAGCTTCTCCAGGTGTTCGGGAGAACCACCCTCCTCCCTGTCCCTGCAGACCCCTTCTCGAGTTGCAAGGGGAGCAGGTGTAAAATGAGCTCCCTTCTCCCCTTGTTGCAATGGGAAGAGACAAAGCCTGGCCTTGCGGTTGCAGCTGATCTGAGGGCTGGCTCCTGGCAGCGATCCCTGGAAATGACGGAGAGGGGTGGAGGCAGTGGTCCAGTGCAGGCATCTGGCATCTGGGAGGTCTTCGTTGGTGGCAGGGGGGTTGCTACTGCCTTGTTGTGACAAGGGGTGATGCCTCGCATGCCCCTGGGTCAAGCTTAAAACCTCCGCCTCGTGCTTAATTCACCAGAACAGGAGCAAGGAGTTGACCAGAGCAGCAGCCTAGCTGCCATGGGGAGGGAGGCTAATTGATGGCTAGCAGGATCCGTGCTTTCCACCTGGGCAGCAGCCAGGGCTTCCCAAGGCAGCTCGAGTGCTAGGAGAGAGCACCAAGAAGGCCGCCCAATGGGAGGGTGGCACTGGGAAGCACGTGCGTGCGCATGGTGCTGTTGCGCTCTCCGTTTGGAAGTAGTCAGGATGGGGTATGAGGTGCAAGCGGGAATGGCAGCTGCCTGCACACACATCCCCGTGCTGAGACGGGGCCCTCGGAGGATCAGCCTGGCGCCTGCTAATGCCTCTCAGCTCCTGCCACTGGCACCTCCTGGCTTTGGGGGAGTGTGACTGATATAACTCATTTTGCTTCCTAGAAGCGCCGGGAAGAGGCTAGCAGGGGTAGGAAAGAGGGGAATGTTTGCCTTGGAGGGGGCGAATGGGGGGAGTACTTGGGCTTCAGACTCGGCTCACGGCTGCGTGCGTCCGAAGCCAGCAAGCTGGTATCAGCGCAGTGCTGCAGACTGGCTGCAGGGCGGTGCCCCCAGCTGGCGGGGTCGTGGTGCCCCACCGCTGACAGGTGACGGGGACACGCACACTGGCGGTACTTCCCCATAGACTTGGGGCACCTCCCAGCCCAGCTGTTGCCGTGGTTGCCCTCCCCAGGTGCTGATATCCCCATTTTAGAGAGAAGCTGAGGCCTGAGGGCCAGGCTATGGGCCTACCCACTGAGCCATCCTCCCTCCCTGTGCATCTTGCCGCCCAGGTTATCAGAGACGGGTGCTGAAGTCCCACTGAGAGCTTAAAAACACTGGGTCTCAACCTCTCCGAGGAAGGCTCTCAACTGAATTTCATAGCAAGGCAGCACCATCCGGCTACTCCCCAGGGAGCGCGAGTGAGCAGCATTGGCGAGGCGCCCGCCAGCCAAGGTGCTGTGTGCACCGATCCCGGGTCACGTGCACCAGAAAACTGCAGCTGCCTCTGGGGTGGAGCTGTCTCGCTGCCCCGCAGCAGGCGTGCGTAACCGAGCGGGGAGCCCCATGTCCTGGGAGTGCCGCGGGGGGGGGAGAGGGCAGCCGCTTCTCAGTCCCTGACCTCCTTTGCTCACTTGGGCCCCCTCACTAGTGTCATGCCCCCCTTCGGGTCTCTGACTCGCTGCCCTCGAGCCTGGTCCCTTGTGGCCCTTTGCTGTGTTTGCTGGCCTGGGAGTGCTGGCAGAGAGGGGCACACGCGTGTGGTTGCATTCACGCTTGGGATCACCCATGAGACACATATGAGCATCTGCTTAACCACAGGCCAAGGTCCCTTGTGCTCCCAGTGCCCAGTTCGTGAGCAGCCGGGCTGGGCAAGGTCCCATGTCCCTCCCATTTGCTGGGCACAAGGGGCTCCATCCCACCCCAGTGCACCTGTCCTGATGCCACGGCGCAGCCCCCTGGGATTACCAGTCCCAGCATGCACTGCTTCAGTCCAGACCCCCACCACTTTGCTTTCTAGGACCTGGTGCTCCCACAAGCCACAGGACAGGGGGTGGCTCCTGGCGCTCCCTGCACCCTCCAGCGCTGGTTTAGCTGGGCACAAGGGCATTCCCTCTGTGGGCATACGCCTGGGGGGCTGGCCTGCCTGAGGCAAGGCAGCTCTTCCCCCCATGTGGAGGGGACACACGTGCCATGAGAAGCCCCTCCGATGCCCAGGCTGGATCAGTCGGGCCTGGTACACGGGCTGGACCCAGACGTCGACAAGCCAGGACAGGAGCGGAGCTGGCGTCCACCGCCCAGGGTCCCAGTGAAGAGGGGAAGGGGCTTGTGGGGGGCAGAGCTGTGGTGCTGGGTCTCAGGACCCCAACCCCCTGCCTGATCTGGCTTTCACCCGCACAGGCCTGGGGGAAGTCCTGCAGGGTCTGGCCTTGACTCTGCTCCGCTCCCTTCTGTGGACTTGGGCACGTCACTTCATCCCCACGGCCCTTGGTTTCTGGGGCTCATTGGAGTGAAGTGCCCGTGTCCTGCGAGGACGGGGTAGTTCAGGGGGGCACTGAGGTGTGTGAGGGGCCAGTGGCTGTGGAAAGAAGCAGGGGAGGGGGCAGGGCCGTGTCCTTGGGGAGAGACGCCCCAGCAAGTGAGATGCAGTGCAGTGGCTGCCCGGAGACCCCAGGCAGGGGCTGAGGCACGGCTGCACAGCATGGGGTGGCCCAGGGGCCGGGCTGGGGTCAGGCAAGCAGGTGCTGCTCCTTCCTCTGCTACTGAGGTCCTCAGCGGCCTTGGCCAAGTCGCCTAATGTCCATTTCCCCACCTGGATAAGTGCCCTGCCCTCACCGAGGCAGGAAGCCCAGATCCCATGGCACAGCAGGATGCTTTCCCTGTGCCTGGCACCTCTGCCCAGAGACACAGCTTCATCCCTCCTGCCCCCTTCAGTGGGGCAGGGAGGGGTCCCCATGGTTGTGCCCCCAGCCTGACCTGCTACAGCGAAGGAGAGGCCAAACCAGGCAGCAGCTGCCATCCTGGCTGGCAGGGCCCAGACCTGGCGCCTGCAGCCGTGAGGGTGGGGTGCATCCCGAGGTGAGAGAAGGGGGCAGTAGGCCAAGAGCCTGTGTGGAGGCTGCCTGCGGCCTGTCTGGGGGGCAGTAAGTTTGGAACCAATGTTTCTAGTCCAGCCCCATTTCAGGGGCTCTG